AGAGAGAGAGAGAGAGAGAGAGAGAGAGAGAGAGAGAGAGAGAGACTAGGCCACAAATCAGAATATATTACATTCTTCCAATACTCTGGCTGTACAACTTTTTTTTGCTTCTGTAATGTACCTAAACCAGGGGTGTCCAAACTTGGCTGGGGAATTCTGGGAGTTGAAGTCCACAAGTCTTAAAGTTCCCAAGTTTGGACACCGCTGACCTCAACTGAACGCACTTTGGCATTTTACAGGATTACACCACCACCAAACACAGGGCAACTGGGTTTTTTTCTGCCTTTCTTTCTTTGGTTCACCTAAATATAAGAAGGGGAACTAAACACGCAGCTTGGTCCTTCTAAAAAAAAATCCAAAAGTTGTGGCTACACTCAGTTGCGTCAATTCCTACGTAAATATGCCCACGATGGCAACCTCGTAGTGCGATCCTAAATGAAGCTTTTCTCAGAAAGAGGTCCAGACGAATGGAAGGGGGTTTCCTGTAGAGGAAGGCTTTAGTGTCCTGTATACCTCCAAGCCAAGGAAGGGTTGGTTTAAAAGAACTGAGCATGAATTCTGATTTTTTAAATAATAATAATAATAATAATAATAATAATAATAATAATAATAATAATAATAATAACCGAGCTTTTTTTGCAGGCTTGATTCTAAAGAGGCAAAGTACGGAAAGCAGTGGAAGAAAGAATCCGAGAGAAGAAATGCTCTGGGATGGGAATGCCAGAAATTGCAAGAAACAGCTATCCACCACTGACCTGTTTTCTGTTCTGCCCCCTTCAAGCCCCCCAGTGTCCTTCGGGTGGCCGTTTGGGCCTCCCCTCAACTAGCCAACCAAGAACCACTTGCAGAATCTGCTATCCACCACAATGGCATTTGTGAGCCTACTGGCCTTAAAAATCCCATAATGCCTCTCTGACAAATCTTCCCGCAACTTTGTATCTTTTCTTTTTTTCTTAAAAAAAAGTGGGAACAATTTGGAGGCTACTTTTGGGGGGAGGGATGGTGGGGAAGAGCAAGGAAAGCTAACTTACCTGTATCAACAAACTAAGCTGCTATAGTGAGAACATTAAATAGGAATCGATTCTTACAATGGGTTCAACAGCTGCACAAGATCAGAGCCAAGATCAATTGGGGGGGAGAGAAAAACCACAATACGAAGAGACCGAATGGGGCCAACGGAGGCACCCCAATACCCGTTAAAACTGTTTGGCAGACAGCAAGGCCATGCATAGCGTCTCTCCTCCCCTTGCCAGAGACCCTGGTTCTATTTGGGGGAAAAAGAGGATGGGAAAAGGCAATGCTCTCCTGCCTCTTGCTTTGGGGGTGGGCAAAAAATGTCTGAAAGTGGAGAGGCCTGGAGGCCAAGGGACAGTTTCACGACTCAAGCGCTTAATAAATAGCATTATTATGGTAGGAAACCAACTTGCACCGTAGGCAATGAGACTCTCCGGCATTTCAGCAAGGCTAAAGAAGGGTCCTGGAGCAGCCAAGAGTTGGGGATGCTGCCCCTCCCACCTGCCCTCTGTGGCAGGCCCCCCCATCCCCGGGGGAAAGGCGCTTGTGTTACTACCATAGGGCTGCCTCTCTGCACCCCAAAACCTTTTTAAGGGAATCAAACTTGAAGTGCTGTGCAGCCTTACCACCGTCAGGGTAAAGGAAAGCAACTGGATGGCAGCCCCCTTCAAATCCCTCCCCCTCTGCCCCTTCTCCACCACAGGGGTGCCTGGAGTAGGTGGGTTCCTGGCTTTCTTTTCCCGCATTTGGGACCAGGGCATTATGATCCACTGCAGCCAGAGCTGGGAAACTCTGAAAGTGCTGCTTGGTTTAAGAACAGGAGGGCGTGGCAGAGAAAAACAACCCCAACTTCCAAAATGTTGAACAGGCAGTCCAAGACCAGACAGCCAGATTTCCGTCAGTCTGAATCTTAACACTTGTGCTGCCATATATCTGGGAAGGGGAAAGTCCAAAAAAGGGGTGAGGTTTCCCTCTCCCACTGCTATTCACCCCTTTTTCAGGGGGCTTGCAATGTTCCAGGAGCGTTGCCTGCAACCTTCTAGCTCAGAGGTCTTCAAACTTGACAACTTTTAAGACTTCAACTCCCAGAATCCTCCAGCCAGCATAAATTACTCTCTTGTAATCCCTTCCTCTGCAATCTCTCCACTTAGATCAGAAGTCTTCAAACTTGGCCACTTTAACACTTGTGGATTTCAATTCCACAGCTGAGAGTTGAAGTCCACCAGTCTTCAAGTGGCCAAATTTGGGGACCCCAGTTCTAGCTGGTCATGGGAGCAAATTCTGGTTGCCTGCCTGCCCCCAACCCTAAACCCCACCCCCGGAAATACCCCTCCACCGCGGGTCCTGATTTACCATAATAGGTTCTGCTGCAACAATTTTTATATAAATAATACCAATGCCTTGTGCAGGGTTAAGGTGATGCAGACTTAAAAAGTAAATGGAATGTAGAACCTGCAAACAGGATAAATTCAGCCTGCCTGAGCAGGCTATTTAACCATTTTCACGGGGTTGTTTCTAAAGGAAAAGCACTTATGCCAAATACGAAAGCACATAAGCTCCCCAAGGATTCTTTTTCTGCTCCTTCTGAATGCCCACACAAATACCACCGTCTACAATTAAGGGAAAGCTATTTTTTCTTTCTTTTAATCACCTGCCTCAGCTCTAAGTTTCCAGGATTTAAAAATGCAAATATACAAAATAATAAAAATAAAAATACAATACAATACGACACAGTAAAATAGCGAGAAGAAACTGCACAAGGTTCTGTTACGATGCCCAAGAGACCGAGGTCCAGCCGGGGCTATACGGTGGCCGCCGAATCGTCCTCCGAGGCCCCGCAGTTGCTGCCTTTCCGGAAGCCTTTCCAGCTATAGCCCAGGAAGGTGGGGCTGATGGGCAGGAAGCTGAAGCACCGATACTTCTTGATGAACTCCATGCCGAAGGGCAAGTCGTAGCTTTCCAGGCCTTCCAGCGATTTCCTGCCCTTGCCTGAGCCCTTCTTCCACTTCCGGATCCCTCTTTCCTCTGGGCTTCCTTAATTCGCAAAAAAGGGAGGCAGAAGAACAAGAGGTGAACAGAAGGACACAAGCTCGTGGGGGGGGGGGGGGCTTCCCCCAGGTGTGGCTGAAGTTGGGATTGGGGGGGTGAGCTGCTAGTCCTGCTTCCCACAATCATGGGCCAGCAGCAGAGGTGGTATTCAGCCAATTCTGATCGGTTCTGGAGAACCGGTAGCAGAAATTTTGATTAAATTTGGCTGGCCCCGCCCCCATCTATTCTCTGCCTCCAGAGTCCCAGCTGATTGGCTGGGTCTTCTTCTGTTGCCCTGCACAGAGGAACGGAGCTGGAAAGCAGGGTAGTGGGGTGGGGAGGGAATGGGGATTTTGCAGTATCCTTCCCCTGGAGTGGGGAGGGAATGGGGTTTTTGCAGTATCCTTCCCTTGGAGTTGGGAGGGAATGGGGATTTTGCAGTATCCTTCCCCTGGAGTTGGGAGGGAATGGGGATTTTGCAGTATCCTTCCCTTGGAGTTGGGAGGGAATGGGGATTTTGCAGTATCCTTCCCCTGGAGTTGGGAGGGAATGGGGATTTTGCAGTATCCTTCCCCTGGAGTTGGGAGGAAATGGAGTTTTTACAATATCCTTTCCCTGGAGTGGGGAGGGAATGGGGATTTTGCAGTATCCTTCCCCTGGAATGGGGAGAAAATGGGGATTTTGCAGTATCCTTCCCCTGGAGTTGGGAGGGAATGGGGATTTTGCAGTATCCTTCCCCTGGAGTTGGGAGGAAATGGGGATTTTGCAATATCCTTCCCCTGGAGTGGGGAGGGAATGGGCTCATGAGCGCTGGGAACGGGGGTGTTCTCCTTGAGCACGAGGGCATCCTCAGGATGACAGGGGAAGCAGGGCAGGAAGAAAAGAGCAAAGTGGACATCCTACCTGGAATGGTGTTATCTAGAATAAAGGCCACACAGCCACCGACAAACATGGCGGTCGTCAGCAAGACGTTTAGGACTTGATCGATGCTGACGATTCCTGGAAAGGGGCAGAAGGTGGGAAATGGCTTCCGTCAGAATCCGAACAGATGCAAAGGACAGAGAAAGGCAAGCGGGGGAAAAAGGTGCCAAGACGGAGACTGAGCAGCTTCATGGAAACACAGGTACATCCAATCCCCTTCTGCCGGGCCAAAGTGGCAGAGTTCCTACTGAAGTTCTCCCTGTTGAAATGTTCAGGGCTGGAATCCCCAGCTCACTCAGTAGCAGCCACTGTCCCACCAGTCCACTGTGAAACACCTGCCATTTGATTTCTCACCTGCAAGGGGGAAACAGTGGTATCTACATTCCTTTACTTTGGGGAAGGTTGAGATCTCAGGGGGAAAAGAGATAAAGACGGGAAGAGCCGAGGTGGTGTAATGGTTAGAGTGCCGTACTGCAGGCTTCTTTAGCTGACTACTAGCTGCAGTTTGGCAGTTCGGATCCCACCAGGCTCCAGGTTGACTCAGCCTTCCAACCTTCCGAGGTGGGTCAAATGAGGACCCAGATTGTTGGGGGCAAGAGGCTGACTCTGTAAACTGCTTAGAGTAAAGGACTGTGAAGCAGTATATAAGTCTAAGTTCTACTGCTATTCCTTCCTTCCTTCCTTCCTTCCTTCCTTCCTTCCTTCCTTCCTTCCTTCCTTCTTCCCTTTCTCCTCCTTCCTGATGCCACATTGGTTAGAATACAGTATCATAGGCTGACTCTGCCCACTGCTTGGAGTTTGATCATGACCGGTTCAAGGTTGACTCAGCCTTCCATCCTTCTCCGGTTAGTAAAATGAGGATTCAGATTCAGATTCAGAGGCTGACTTTGTAAACTGCTTAGAGAGGGCTGTAAAGCACTATGAAGCAGTATATGTCTAAGTGCTATTCCTTCCTTCCTTCCTTCTTTCCCATTAGAATGCAGTTTTGCAGGCTAACTCTGCCCACTGCCAAGAGTTCGATTCTCACTGGCTCAAGAGGTTGACTCAGCCTTCCAAGGTGGGTAAAATGAGGACCCAGATTGTTGGGGACAAGAGGCTGACTCTGTAAACTGCTTAGAGAGGGCTGGAAAGTACTGTGAAGGGGTTTATATGTAAGTCTAAGTGCTATTGCTATCTCACTTTAAGATCTTTGGGGAAGGTTGGAAGAGGGGAGAGTTCTCTTCATCTGCTCAAACCACTGGCTGCCCCAGTGGCTCTTGGCCAATGGTGGTGGACTTCAGCCCATCTTTGACACTCAAAGTCCATTAACCAGCCAATCAAAATAATTGCTCAACATGACCTAGAAGTGGGAGAGAAATTCCCTTTTGCTGAAAGTATCCTGGAGGATTGGAAGAAGCCTCCTGCACCCTACAATTACTTGGCAATTCAAACACTAAAAGCGTGGAAGGGCCCATGGAGTTCTAGGAAACCTATGACGCTGGTATGCAGCCCTCCCTAGCATTCTTCTGCAGGGCTTATAAAATTATGCTTTGCTGTTTTATCAAGAGGATGGAGCTATTTAGGTTTAGGTTTAGGTCTATTAGATTTATATGCCGCCCTTCTCCCAAGGACTCAGGGCGGCGTACAACATTAAAA